GCAGCACATAATTCTGAAATGAGCCCTGCTTTGAGCAGTAGGCTGGATGGATGACATCACCATGTCCTTTCCAACCACAGCTTTTCTGTGATTGTTTAAAGCAGTAATAGGAACTGCCAACGTATCTTTACCTAACTGCCTTCTATTTTGCAAAGCTTTGTCTTATCCCTTCCTTTCTAAAATATATGTGCATCTATAGGTGGATCCTTCCTCTGAGAGGACAGTCAGTCTGCTGGAGGAAATAGAAGCACTCAACCGCTTCCATTCTCTATGAAATTAGGCTACCATAGCATCATAGGACGGCTCAGATTGGAAAGGGACCTCAAGGATTACCAAGTTCTAACCTCCCTGTCACAGGCAGGGTTACCACGTGTGAGATCAAGTTGCCCAGGGCTCCATCCAACTTGCCCTTGAACTGGATAGGGATAACACAAAAAATACGCTCCCAAACTCCCTCAAGCATAAAGATGACTTCTTTTTACATACTGATCAGTGCTCAGAAGATACTCCATCAGCCCAGGCCGTTCCTCAGAGCACCTGCAGGTGCTATTCATTACCACCCTGCATTTGATACCACGTATTCAGGTTGGCGAGTACCCAGCACAGCTCAAAAAAATCAACCTATACTTGTTATAAACACCTCAGGGGAGGCCTGATATCTTGTCTGGCTAGCTGGATGGATGGCCAAACAGGAATGAGCAGCATTTGGCACCAAGCAGTGTTGATGAGACATGTCCAAATCCTGGCTCTGCTGCTCATGTTTGTCTGACACTTGAAACCAAAGCTGACTGTAGCCCTTCTTTGGCCCAGAATAAGGTGGTGGTGTGGTTAACCCTTAGCTATGACCACTTGCTATTTCAGCAGGAGTCAGCTGTGCAGTGCAAACAGGTCATAATGGCATTGCTGGAACAGCTCACTGAGTCTCTGTCAGGTGCTGCCTCTCTGCAAGTGCTCAGGAGAGGATGCGTTCTGCTGCTTTTGCTACAAACAGGTTGTGCAGGGTGCAAATTGCAGGTTATCAATTAAAAGTGCCTTTTGCCTCCAGTAAGCAAGGCAGAGACCAAGACTGAAAACTTTGATCTCAAGTGAAGATAGAATTGGGGAAATCTGGAGAAGAAAGAAGGTATTATAACTGTAAACCAGTGATGGATGTGCTCATTAAACGTGCCTGCCTGGGCAACAGCGCCAAACACAATAGAGACTTACAAATATTGAGTCACAACCTCTTTATACTCATAAACTGAATATGCACATCATGTGCACCATATAAATACACCAAGTGATGGGACACAACCAAGGTACTGTCTATACTTAGAGCATTAATGCTGTCAGTACAATGCTGTGACCTGCAGAGTGCTCCCAAGCCTGTAGCCAGAAGAACACATGGAAATGACTGCTGTAACCATGGGCCTGGAAGGGGCTAGAAAAAGATGTAGATGACACACTGGAAAATGAGAATCGGACCAGGCATCGCATTTTGTTCTTGTCAGCTGGCTTTTTTCTTCTTTTTAAATAATTGTGCTCTTGGAAACATGGAACAAAATCTACATGGGAAAAGCCTGACTTTTCTCTGCCCATATTTCCTCACAATGGGGCAATTTGGAGGCTACAGGAGATGCACGACTGATTTTGAGTGAGGGAGAACTGCGGCCGAAAGAGGTATGTGGAAAGCTGGACCTGCTGTTGATGTGTCACCAGCAGTTTGTATCACAGCAACACGGAGCTGGCTCAGAGCTCTGGCCTTTTGTGCCCCATTGGACACAGACTCCCACCAGAAAGAGAAATGAAATCTTTAAAGCTACTATTGGTGACCAACTATTTGATGCCTGGTGGAAACAACACCCAAAACTTAACAAAAATTGCCATATGTTATTAAAATATTTTCTTCTTTCTCTAGCTTTCTGGCTTTGGGCATTTTACAGCTGTCTTTATGCCAGCAGGAGATGGTAGCTAGCTGAAAAAAAAGGCAGAGGGCAGGAAAATCCTTGCATATGAAGAAATAAACTCTACTGTTTCATATATCCAAAGAATCTTGAACTGAAAGCTCTTTGAAACAGTTTCCTTTTCTTAGGAAAAAACAAACAAACAAACAAATACTCAAATTGATTATGGTCTCTGAAATTATAAAGTGGGCTGCTTTTTTTTCTCCTCCTACGTGCTCTTTTCAGGCACCATTATGCTGAAGGAAGCATGGTGCCAGAGGCTGCATGGTCCACTGCGACTGTAGGGGCTTTGGGCCCAATGGGTTCCCATCTGTTCAACAGCACGTGGCTCCTGCTTGCTCTGTCTCTTTGGAGCTGAAGCATCACAGGTAATACCAGAGAGAGCCTAAAGCCCAGCAAAGTGCTCTATTGGGATGCCATTCGGCTACATGGAATGCCCCTGGCACCAGAACATAACCACAGGCTAATTACTTCTGATATTTCCTCCTTGTATTTCACCCATTTCTCGTGAAACATGGGGGAGCTGTGGATGGCTACACGACAGAGGAAAACAACAGACTCCCTTTTTGTCTTTCTAAGAACACTGCGTTTGTTCCCCTGTGTATTAACGTACAAAGAAGATGGCGCATGGCTCAGTCTCGGACTTTCACAGCTGCCAGGTAACTGAGTACTAGGTAACAAGAGTTGGGATGAAACTGATGTGTCATAACTCAAGCCCAGAGACTTGTCTGTGCAAATGAAATGATGTGCAGAACTGCTGGGCCTAGAAACCCAATGCTGATCTGAATAAATAAACACAGTAAAATGTGATCAGCTGTAAGCAGCAATTACGCACCAAAGGAGCAGTTGCATCTTCCATAACTGGCAACAGAAAAGATGGACAAGACACTGAGTCAACCTATGAACAGATGGATGTGTTCTCTTATAGCACGTTGTATCCGTGTTATTGCAGGAAAAGACAGCTGTGTCAGGTCTTCACGCCCATCTCCCACTGGAGGCAAAACTGCGGCTGAAGGAAAAGTTGATCTCGCCATTTTTATACTTCCCCCACGCTCCAAATGGCACTATGACAACCGTGCTGTTATCTTCAGTGCCATACTGTATTGCCTGAAGGAAGAAACAATTTGTCAGCGTCACAGTCTTGCTCAGAAAGAGAAATAGCTCTCTGACTCCACATGGGACAGCATGCTCTGAGACTTCATTGCTTCTTCCCAGCTCCAACACTGCAGGCTCTTGCACACCTCGGAGCTTTCCATGGATATACCACTATCCAAAACCTCCAATATGAAACTGGTGGTTTCTGTCTATGCTGATTACATACACAGCAGGTCTGCAGACCAAGAACTAAGCACATTAATTGAAATGATGTCCCTGTGTCCTTGCAAGGATCTGGCACTTTGATGCTTCAAGTAACCCTAGCATTACCTGCTCAGTAACAACGTGGGCAGCTTCAGTGGGATCGTGGCACTGGTTGATGAAGTCGCAGATCTCTTGACTGTTCACCATGAAGTTAATACCGTCTGTAGTAAGGACTAGGAAGCCGTCATCTGCATGGTGCAACTGCAATAAAGGTACGAAGTATGCACAACAGTGAAGAGAGTGCTGCCAGGTAAAACTGCTGCCTTGATTTCTTTTTTTTTTACCCTTTGTTGCAAAGTATTTTTCTCTGGGAGTGTTGCCTGGTCTCTTGATTTTTGTATGAGCACTATCCTCATCCATTAGGGGAAAATGTCAAAACATGTGAGTTGAGAGGAGGTACTTTTTTTTTCTCTTTATGAAAACGTGAATGCAGTTGTGCTGAATACCTTATGGGTGGTTGATCTGTTTTCTGGACAATTGCAAAGCTATGGTAAGATGCATGCAACTGCCCTTTCCTTCCCCCTTCCTCTCAAATATGTAACCCGCCACAAATCCTGCTATCCTTGGTGACCCAGCTCTTCCAAATCCCACCTAGTTCTCAGTGATTGCTTTGTACCAACATTAACATTGAAAGTAGGTTATACTGTGATAACAGGGATTCAGAAGTTAACCTTCTTGACTTTCCTGTCAGGACTTGATTCTCTTCTATCTTATTAGTGTCAATCTGAGATAACTTACGTAGAGCTGGTTGTGGGTTATTTCACCACAAGTGAAAACCAAAGCTTGGTCGTGTGATTTCACCTGAGCAAACTGTGTGGGTACCACCACCTGCTTCAGATAGCTTTGTTGCCCCCTTAATCCAATTGCTGTCCCTGTAAACCAGGCTTTCTTTTACCTGAACCCTTTTTGTTTCTGGCTGGGCTATCACACCACTGTTTTTAAGATCCAAATCTCCTATGCTCCGCGTCATTGCAAGTCTACCATTCACATGAGGTTGTCCCAAACTGTTCCAGGCAACGAAGCCCCCGCACTTCCTAATCCTGTCCGGAGGCACAAGAGAGAAAGCGAAGATGAGTTACAGATTCGGACCATTCCCCCTGTCTGTAGCTGCAGTTTCTACCACTATCTGCTGATGTGAGATGGAGTACCATGGACCCGAGCTGAGAGGCTATGTTTGAAGGGTTCCACAGAAGGGATAGGATTTAGAGGGCAGAGTGCTGCCCTGGGAACTACAGCACATTTCTTCACATCTTGGATATCTCTTGGAACTCTTGGATGAGTCTTTGAACCATGTGGTTACAGCTCAATACCCAGTCCTAGCTCTGCTGGTTTTACTGCAATGACAGTTTATGTTCATGTAGGCCTTTATAAATCCCCAGTTCTTGAAATGGAAATAAATGACTTAACTGGGGTTGTGCCACTTTTTCCAGCTTGGACTGTTATGTTCAGCTCTAGCCTTTTTCCCAGGACCAACCTGGCAGCAGGATAGCCTGACAGAGGCTGTTCCCCAGAAAGCCACAATATGAGCCAACAGGTACCTTTCCTTCTCCTCCTTCCTTTCTGGTGTATGGTCAATGGTGAGTTTCATGGCCTTTCCTTTTCGACACAGCAGGGCACGGCTGTCACCCACGCTTGCCACTACCAGCTCAATACCATCCCGCAGCAGGGCCACCGTTGCAGTGGTCCCAGAGTTCATCAGAGTTGCTACAAATGTCATATCAGAGAGAGAGGTTTTATCACTGCCTCAAAGCACAGGACCATTTATAACAGAGCAACAGTGTCGACTGGTTAAGACAAAGACAACTTGTGCTCTACATTACTAGTAAGTAATTGTTTTTAAGTTTAAACTAAAGCTATAGATAAGGATTAAAAAAAAAAAAAAAGCAAACAAACATGCATACAGGACTTGGGATGGGGAGACAGAGAGGGAAAAAAGTGGAGAGTGTCAGTGTTTCTATGCAACAGCATGGCTCCATGCAAGAGGGCGAGTGGAGTTAAAGCAGGATGAGACACAGTGGCTTCTTTTCAGATTGTAGCAAATAGCTTTTCAGTCCCACTAGTTCCTCTGAAGGTACAGGTTCTTGTCTTTATCTCTATGCACAGTGAGCTCATTGATAGCCCACCAGAATGCTGATGGTTCTCCCCTCCTGTGAGGCAGTGAAGTGGGTGGCTGAGTAATTGCAATTGGAGCTGCATGTAGTTCAGCAGAAGAAAACCTCCAGATCACTTCTTGGCCGCAGTCTGTGGGGTTCTCCTGTTACTGTTGTTATTAATAATCTCCCTCTCATTCCCGTTGGCTTGTCAAGAGACAAAGGGCTCTGCCAGCAAGTGCTGCCCTTTTTGAGAAGGGGACTCTGCTCTCTTACAGCCCTGCAGATTTGTTGGAGGTTGCAGCACTAAGGCAAAGCTGGATTCCGCCTTGCCTTGCATTGCAATGCAAAATGAGTGCAAGTCACCTGGCAGCTGTGCTTGCTTCTGGGCGATCTGCCCTTGTATGCTGGTGGGATCATTTGACATTTGCTGCCTAGAGGGCAAGCTGAAGCCCTAGCTGCTGGCTTCCTCCTCTTGCAGGGCACGGGAATGGTCTAAGCTGTCTGTTTTATGGACCTGGTTGCAGTGACTATTGCAAGCAAACTTGCTTAGGGGAAATAAAACCCGTGCTTAAAAAGAGGAACAACGAGTCTGTCTGCCTGTTTCAGAGAAGTTGTGCAGATTTATCCGCAGTGAAAGAAATGCCAGAAAAACTGCCTAGCCCTCATTTTTTGCTTGCTTACTGTTTAAAAGGAAGAACCTACTTTTGTAGGTAGCATCTCCTCCTGCAAAACATGCTGCACTGGTTAGGGAGAGCAATTTCTCTGCTGGAAAGCACTAGCTCCTGCTAACTTGAGCTTTTATAGTAAAAAGCCAAGTTGGGAACAAGTCTTGCCCAGAACTCACAGCCCATGCAAGTGCCTCTGAAAGGCCCTCTGGAGGCTTCTTGCACACTGAGGTGTTCCAGTAACAGGTTTTAAAAGCTAGCTTCCAGACAGAGGTTTGGGTCTTAGCATTGAGAATCCCTAGCTATATTGCTATTTTCACATGAGTAACAATTGAAGATCTTCCCACCACCACTTCTGCAGAGCTCTGCACTACACGTGCTCCTGCCTTTGGCTCTGTGGCACTGACCTGGGATGGTGGAAGGAACTGGGGTGGGCAGCACAACGCCCTGCTGGGTGCATGGAGCCTTGCTGTCAGATGAAAGCAGTGCGTTGATGAAACAAAAAAAAAATACCTCACAAAGCCATCTAAACTAAGCTTGTGTTATTATTAAAACAGGTATTATTACTGCTGCGGTGACTTGGTTAACTGACTTAACCAACAAGTCCACAGTGAATGTTCACCATGGTGACACAGGATGCACCTTGGTCTATGTTACAGCTGTGATACAGACTACAAGATTCAAAACCACATAGATGCCAGTAGTCTGTTGAGCATTCAGGTAAGCACTGACATCTTGTTTCTACTTTAAAGCAAGGACTATGCAAGTACAGGCTCCTTTTAAAATATTTTATAAAATAAGATAATAATAGGTAGTGGTGTGATTAGAAATTTTAGTAAATTCAGTAAAATACCTGTTTTAGCCAACAGCTAAAAGAAGTAAAATGAACTTAAAACTGCCTTTTTTACTTTGCAGAAAATATATTTTACTTAAACATTAAAATTAATGCCACTAGTTTCCCATCTCATCACTTGTTTTGGAACTATGCTGACAAACACATAAGGTTTCAGAATAGATTGATCTGAGGTCTGTAATTCATGACTGAGCACAAACATTTGGTCATTCGGGCGAGTGTACATCTTCACAGTGCCAAACCAGAAAGCCAACAGGCCTGCTATCAGGAAGCAGAGGATGGTACTGAAGACCCATCAAAGATACAACAAAGAGCTGTGGTAATGGCTGTACCAACTTCTGTCTTATAAATGTTTGCTTCTTAAATTGCACTCTGAGGAAAACAAATGCCGCTCACGCTTTCTTCTCTGAAACTGAATCACCATTCACGTAGGGGTGAAAGATCTGGTCAGACTGAAGGGATGATGTGACTTCTCTCACAGTTCCAAAACACAGCAGTGACGATGGGATAACATTTCTAATGCTTTATTATGACTGCTGCTAGGATATTTAATAACACAAAAATATATTGCATCAGCACGTGTACTCATTTTTAAAATTAAAAGAGTTTATCTTGTTTACCTAACAATATCACTATAAAACTAAGATCTTTCAATAGGTTCTTAACACTCACTGGACACTTTTTACTGCAAGTCATCTCAACTAATGTGACAAAGAGGATGTGGGAACCTTCCAGTAGTCCAGGCTAGGAACCGCTGGACTCCTTCACCTGGGACAAAATTAAGCAGATCTCTCTTTCCACTGAAGCCCAGCATATAGTGTCCAGGGCCTCCAGTTCTAGAGCTGCTGACCAGGTACAGTGTCTGCCACAAATAACACGTACACAGAGGCAAATAGGAAATTGACCCAGGGACTTTGTTCAAACAAAATAAACCTGCAACACTGGAGATGAAAGGACAAGGGCTGCAAAACAGGGCACGTAGTCATTTTGGGTTTGCCCACAGTGTCTTCTACAGAGGAAGGGCCTGGATGAGCTGTGTAATGTTCCATTTGGCCATAGTAGAGACTGCATCTTTGGCCACAGATTTGTTTTGCGCGGCTGATGGCGAGTGTCCAGTTAAAAAGTCATCCAAATAAATGTACTGATGCCAGGTATGACTGTCTCATATGACAGTGATCACCTTACAGAAAATGTTCAAAACATAATGTGGCCCATTTTCCCAAGGTAGTTTGTATATGTAAATATATATATATATAAATGAAATAAAAATTGAGAGTTCAAACCTGTGCCAACTAAAATGAGGCCATTTAATGAAGACACTGAATGACTCCTTCTGATCCATGGGCAAACATGCGATAACACCCCCATCATACCGTAAATAGTATCGTCTAACTTGATTTGGTAATAATTCAGACCTTTGGATAAAAAAGTGGTCTTTGTGACATTGATGGCATTGTGAAATACGTAAGTAACCATTTCTGCAGCTCTCCCTTTTCCTCAGTGTTGCAGGTTAACATATTCAAAGAAAAAGTAATCACATGCTCAAACAGTAACTTAAAAAAAATCTGAATACTACTTTGTAAATATAATTATTTTAAAAATACTTCTGCTGTTTGCTCAGCACATTAAATTTCCAGGAGGTCCCTTCAATTGTAGACACATCAGGTAACACCTGGCTATGTTTTAACAAGATGGCTATTCCAGAAGTGAGTGGTCAATGTGATTAGAGCTAGATGCACTGAACATGGAGGCTGATGGAAACATTGCCTGCCTGTTATTTTCCCTCAGTGGTGGATGGTGCCTGCGGTGAACAGAAGCAGCAGCATTTACACTTCAAGACCACCCTAGGCCAGGGCAGGGTTTGTTTTCCATTTCTCCAGAGCAATGTCCTGTTTTCCTCGAGCATGATAAGTTGTTTAGATCTATCCTTACTCAAGAAAGCTATTCAGCTTTTACATTTAGATTTTTACTGCTGGTCCAATGTAACAGAAAACTGTCCATCTCTGTTAGCGTTTGTTCCCTGGATAATAATGTATTTGTTGATTGGGAACTTCCTTTACTGTGTCCTGTATGTTAATTTGGCAGTGATTCGACAGTGAGTGGGTACATCTGAATGTGTGGAAGTGAATGAAAATGAGTTTCTGAAGAGATATCGAACACCATGCTTCAAGACTCAGGCATGTCTCTGACCTCTTAATGATTAGAAATTATTTCTGTGGCAGATGGCTTCAGAAAGAAAGTTTCTTATGCCTTTGTGTGAAACTGTCAGAGGGGATACAGGAACAACCTGCAGGTCAATACAGCAGTCCAACAGCACCAGTGAACGCACACACCGAGCATGCAGCAGTACTGAAACACATGCATAGACCTTTATTTTTACTGAGACTCAAACGAGGAATTATTCTACTTGTTTTTCAAATCTAATTTCAAATATTTTTCAATTATAAATCTTCAGTGTCCTGGAAAACAAAGCTATGTTCTCCAACAATTCATGTTCTAGTCCTGTTAAATTTTTGCCATATGTTTTTTTTTTCCCCTCTAAGTATCATCATAAGCATTGTGTTAGCCAAAATTTCATGGATTTTTGTTACAGGGATTTCCTGTAGTTATGTCCTGGCAATTATGTTTCTTCAAACAGCCAGGCATTCATTTTCAAAGCTGGTTGTGTGTTAGTAAAGATCTGGACTCCCTGACCATCCACCCTGTCTTTTAAAGAATACAGAGAAAGGAGCCCTGGCAGGGCTGTCTGTGGGAACAAAACTAAGTAAGTTATTTTTCTGCACTTCATCAGCTGCGGCAGGGATTCAAAAGGAGGTTGGCCTTGAGCATCCAGTGTATGACAGATAACCTGTGTTACACCACTGACCACCATCTCTGATAAACTTTGACCATCACATCTAGAATAGCCACAATTATTCAGAATTTTTGCTGGCAAACTGAATCAATTTGGAATTAGTCTTCTAACAAGGATACATGCAAAACACTGAATTTTACATAACTTTCAAAAGAGCAGCAATGACAAAAATATCCACACCAAACAGTCAATCAAGCATTTAATTTTTAATTTTTTTTTTAATCAGCAGATATGCAAAAAGCTTGCTTTGTTCAGAAAACTGCACTTGTGTTGTCTGCACACCCTGTTACTCCACTCTTTGCCTTTTAGCTTTATTTTCAGCTGGGCAACCAGACAAGAGCACTGGGCACTTTTAGATCCCACTGGCTCCTGTGGGAAGAATATGCAGGCATTCAGCCTCCCTAAGAAACACTGAGTACTTTGTAGGACATGGCCCCTGTAAATGTTCAATGATTGCTTTTCCCTTCTATTTTGTTTGTCCTCACGCTTTTTTAATGCAGAAGGCTTGTTCAGTATCTTGATGTTACATAAATTTGCTGGCATTTGCATTACGTTTCAGTGAGCAGCCCCCATTAGTCAGTTAAATGGTATGATAAAATCCTACAAGGAATTCCAAAATGCCCAGCTTGCTGTACAGCTTGTTTGTTAAATATTTTTTTGTTCAGTTCATTATGTACAGAATGCTATAATCAGAAACCACATTCAGAGTAACAGAACAGTATACCCAGTATGGTTCCCAAACATCCTTCTCAAGGAAATGCTCTTAAACTTGAACATGAGCAAAATAAAGAGCTGTCTTAACAACAAATGGACTGGGCAGGGTGCAAATAAAACAAATCACAGAAAATAAGAGGTTGTGATCTAGGGAAGGACATAAGCCTTCAGGTGTTTGTTGGTTTGTTGTTTTTTTTTTTTTAAATCTGGGCTTACAAGGAGACTCTTGGATTCAAAGCTCATCTGCTCTAGTGATATCCCTATCATTAGCTCAGTTAAAACTGACTTCACAGGTCAAACATGACTTTGGATTTTTTACCCCATTATTATTCTTTTTAAACAATAGGACTGGTTTTCCATACCTAGAAATAAAATAGGTTATAATGGAAAAATGAGCTTTACAGATTAAATTCCTCCTTTTTAAGGGCTGTGTTTCAGAACTTGAGTCATTGTCTTTTCTGATACATTAGCTCTTACCACGTAAGAGGAAAGCTGTACATCCCTCACAGTGCTGCAATAGTCAGGCAACTTGTCCAGCCAGGAAATACTTGAGCCTAGGTAGGTTTGGTTAGCACTTTAAGAGCAGGAAACCACTCCATTACTAGACTGTTTTCACTGATTGTTTAAAGGAAGTGGAAGTAGCCCCAAGGACACAGTGTGACTTAATTCCCTAAACGTCCTGTTGCATCGCCAGTATCTGTAGCAGCACTGGGACAGCTTGTTTGGGTTTGGTTTTCTTTGTATTTATTTAAACACTGGGTGAACTAACTCCTCTATCTCCTTCCCAAATTACACCCTATAAGCTCCAGCTACTGTGACTGGAATTTCAGATGTGCATAGTCTCTCTCTATATATACACAAGAATTTGGTGAACAGCCAGGACTAAGGAAATCTAAAGGGGCTGGTGCCAGCTTTACCACAGCGAATCTTGTTTTCCTCTTGGCTGTTGTTTCCCCTTTCATGCTCAGCTGCTCTGCAGATTCTCTCTGTGCAGAAGTGGTACCATTTGTATTACTTCTGGCTTATATTCCTCCTCAGCTGCAGCAGCCAAGTAAGAAAGGGGAACTTTGGACAGTGTTCCTTTCCAAAGGAACTCAAAGGAATAGCAACTTTTCAGAAAGAAAAGTTGGTTGGACTAGATGATCTTGTAGGTAATTTCCAACCTTGTGATTCTATGATTCTGTGAAAACAAAACGAAACAAAAAACAACCCAAAGAAGACAGTGTTTCTCACACAGGAAGATTCTGTTCCTTGCCAATTTAAATCGCTCCTTGCTAACTTGACAAACACCTTTCTTGACAGAATGATGATAAGATAAATTCAGTGCGGATTATGCTGAAGCCCAGATTAATAACTCCCCCAGTAAATTTGACCTAGATTTTTTAACAGCTTTTTCGTTTTTAGGGAAGTAAAGCACAATTGTTTAGTTTGTGGTAAGTGATTAGAGCAAAAACCTATATTAAGTAAAACAGTTTTCAGGCTGTTTTCGGAGTCTTAGTACAAAAATACTGAGAAATAACCAATCCCTTTTTCCCCACACACATAAGGGTAGAATATTTTTTTACCTACCATCAGCAGACAGCTGAGCATGCCTTTCGTATGCTTTGTTTATTTCTAGAAAAGCATCGTTCAAAACTTTTTCTAAGTTCTCTTCCTGAACAGCAAATTCCCTGGGTACAAATAATGAAAAAAAAATTAGACTTCTTACCAAGAAGCGTTCACATTAATCAATCTCTTTCATAGACTTATTTCCTCCCTGCATGCATTGAATAATGCTAGATTACAGTAAAAAGGTAATACTGCTTTATTAATGACTTCCACTGAAAGCTTAACACTCTGATTTTGTGAACAGATAAAGTGCCTCTTCTAACACTCAGGCAAGTACTGGAGAGATAGGGAGGAGTGTCAGCAAACTCCCAAATCTGTGATCACATAACCCCCATCTGACAACAGGCAATTCACATGCTCTGTATTCCCTGCTCTCTCCCGGTGGGTACAATCACATTTTCTTTTCTTGTCTTTCCAGGCTTGCTCCCCAGGCAGGGAACATACATCACGCCACATCTGTTGTAATGGGAATTACTCCTTTGCTGTGTTGCTGCTGACTCTGTTGGAATAGATGGCTATACAACCTGGGACGATTAGCAGCAACATATGGTGCACAGATTCCCTTTTGGTTGTAAGGAGGGAGGCTCTACAGTAAGTCATTAACCGCGCGTTCACTCGACGCACACTTACTTGATATATCTTTCCATGTTCTTAGCGCAGAAGTCTGCTGCTGCCGCCCCGCCATGTCCATCGTATACTGCAAAGTACAGGACATCCTCAGTCAGCTGAGCGTAATCAAAGCGGTCTTCATTTTCCTTCCGCTTCCCAATATGACTGGCACAGCCCACTTTGCTCAGGCTGACTTTTGGAATCGGCTTTCCATACTTTATGCTAGGTGGGAGGAGAATAGGTTCATCAATGCGATTGTCCCAGATGCCAAAGGTGTCCCACGTGGCGGGCCGCCCGCTCCCGTCCGGATCAAAGCGGGATGCCCGGCGTTCGGAGGTGGAAATGTAGCACTCGACTGTCAGACGCTTGTCGTCTTGCAAGAGGCGGGATGTCAGCAGGGCTCTCCTTCGCACTTGAGAACCTCCGTTTCTTACCAAATGGATTAAAGCAGCTGTTGACATAACTTGTCTTCGCAGAGATTCGTAGGGATAAAAGAGATGCAGCAGCTGGAATGTCTTCAAGAACAAAGAGAAAACTGATCAAGAATCAGCACAGGAAGGGGGACTATCAGTTACATCATTCAGGAAACAATTTCACAGTGGGAGCCCGCTAATCGTGCATAGCACAGCACTGCCTAGAAGAGGCTACAGAGCCTCTGCATGACTCATCGAGAAACAATCCTGCACAGACCAGCCCACAGTTACAGTTCTGATGAGGACTGCTGCAGATAAATTGAGGCAAGGCAGCTCCACTGGCCACCTCCATCGTGATACCCCTATTTTCAGAGGTTGCAAAGGAGCTAATGAGAGTAATAATGACTTTGTTCTATCTCATCAAACTAGGAAAATGTTGAAATATGAGGTAAGGTCGTTGAATGAGTTTATCATGCATACAGCTCAAGCAATTGCTATAGCATATGTGCTGTGAATCGTGGAGAGTGTGAAAAAATGTACTTGCTTTGATTTTAAAGAGCTGAATTCCTGCACAGGAGACATGATATTCAGTTCTGTCCCATTTCATCAGAACCTGAATAAGACTTCTCAAAGCAGAACTGGAAAGGAAATTCTTTTTTTTTTTTAAATATATATATATGTATATATATAATATATATTTTTTAAGGCGAAGAGCAACCATTAAGTCTATCTGTAGATATGCACAATTGCTCACTTTAACTTCACAAAACACTGTCCATGCAGCTTTTAGCTATTCTGCCTGGTGTTCTTCACTACCCAACCCTGAAATCCCTGAGCTATCCCTGGAAGCAAGATCTTCCATTGACTTTTCAGATGCCTCTTCCAGCTTGGATGTATTAAACACACAAGTTGGCTCAGCACAGATACAATTCACTGACACTGATCCAACTACCAAGCTGAAAAATGTAGAGCAATTTGCTTAGTTATTTGCAGAGTAACAGCCCAAATGATGAAACTTGAAAGAGCTGGGGTGCATTTGGTAGTAAGCCCATGTTGTTGCACCAAACAGATTTGACCTAGACCTTCAGATCGCTGTAACTAACCATGCTAAGAGTTAAGTGAGGGATTGCTCTTGTTATTGCTAAATGTTTGCTTGTACTGGAGAGTTGCCAAGAGCAAAACTGTAAGTGAAAAGTATTCAATATCATAATAAAGAGATTAAGAATACATAAGATGGCAGAAGGCAGATGGTCTGACATAATCCAGCAGCAAATAGTGAGCAATATGCATACCCTAGAGATACATAATTCTGGACTGGAGTGCCTTGCCATTGTGTTTTCAAGATTCAAATAATAACTGCATCTGTATTTTGAAATATGGCTTTACACTAATTTCTTTAAATCCCAGACAAAAACTGGGCGCTTGCAAAAACATTCATAAAGTTAACTTGGTGAGCATTTGTTTAATTAGAAAGTGGCTGTGATATGAACATTCTGTAGGCATACAGTAAGCTTGCACAGCTCAAAGCACGTTGTTTTGGATGCTCTTGGTTTATCTTTAATGTAGTATCTTAGGTGAGGAAAGATTTGTTTATTTAGCATTTACAGACGAACAGTCAACTCAATCAATGCCAAACACGCTGGGAATCAATATTGTTGCACTGGATGAATTTGGCCTAGACACCATGTGAATGAACTGGCACGTTTCCACTATGAGTGATTTTCCATTTTACTCCTGGACGTCTGCAACATCTCACCCTTATTGCACTATACTCGCAGGTAGTTAATAGCTGATTTTCTTCCTTGAGATTTTTTTTTTTGTTTCCTGTTGCCCTTGACTCGCAGCAACAGCACGTTCATTTCCTCCTGCCAAGCACAGCTCAACAAAACTGAAAGCCTGCCAATTCGCAAAACCTGCACTTCTGTCAGCTCGAGAGATGAGGAAGAAACACTAGCTATATTTAGAGCTCCCAGAATCGGTAGCGTGAATCAGAAGATAGATCCAGAGCTAATTAACGGGTTTGTTTCCATCAGATATACCTCCTAAAAGCCCTTTTCCACCTTACTGGTGGTCGTGGTGGGGATGGGCTGACAACTGGACTAGATGGTCTTAACGGTCTTTTCCATCCATAATGATTCTATGATTCTTGAACCCCAACGGTGGTTGGGCTCTTCAGCTGTCTCTGCAAGGAGGAACATGAAACCACGCTGTGGCTGCAGTGATGTAAATAGTTGTGCTTTCGGCTGGGGACAGCTTGTCCAAACCGATACGCCTGCAGGCACTGAGAAAGGCCAATGTGGGAAAAAAACAGGCTGTGCGTGCTGCAGCCAAAAGGAGCCGGCTGCGGGAGAAAACCTGCTGCGAGGGGAAACCTGCTGCGAGGGGCTCCGTCTGATCCTGTCAGCCTCCGAGTATTTAACCTAAAGGAATGGTTTGTATACATAGACGAGGAAACGCAGCGCTTAGCGTTAATGATTAAGCCGTAAATCAAGCTGTAGGGTGACCCTCTTTTCAGCGAGGCTGCCTTATGGGAGAAAGAAACGTTCCATACCGAGAGGAGAAAAGAGCAGAAGCCCACCCGTGCCCCGGAGGACGCGCGGCTGCCGTCCCGCAGCGCACAAGGCACGCTGAGCATCCAGCACAGCGCTATGGCCGCAGGACGATACCACGCCCGCCCGCCGCACCCGTTAGGGCTGCGGCCAGCGGTAGGGAAGGAGAAACGACGACCGAACCCGACTCCCTCCTCCCGCTGCGCCGAGGAGAGGCCTTACCTTCTCCTCTGTGTTCTCCTGCCGTACCCGGGAAGCCGGAGGCGAGCGGCGGAACCTCCCCAGAACCCTCCGGCCGCTACTCCCGCCCGCCACGCCTCTCCTCTCCGCGGGGCCGCCGGGCCAATGCGGCGCTGGGGGCCGTCCAGGCGCGGCCCGGCCCTTCGCGGGCCCCAATGGCGGCGGAGATGGCAGCCGAGCCCCCCCCGCCGCCCTCACCCCGCCCTGAGGGGAGCGGCCCGGGTGCGGGGCGGGAGGAGGGCGACTGTGGGATGCCGCGATGCCGTTCCCGCTGGCTTCTGCTCGTGGTTGACGCGGGTATCGGATCCTGGCACTCCGAGAAGCGCGGAACGTCAGGTGTTTTCCATTTCCATCTGACAGTCTCGCAGTGGAGCCAGTATTTAGACAAAACCTGCCTAGGTTTGGCTGTCGGGTTCTTGAACAACCAGCCTTCAGCACATTCAGGGGCCTTCTTAATCTTTCAGTTAATATTTATTCATAGAATCATAGAATCAAAGGATAGTTGGGCAGAAAAGCCCTTAAAGCCAGCCAGCCCCAACCCCCGCTGTGGGCTGCTTGCCCCTGCCAGGTCAGCCTGCCCAGCGCCCCATCTTCTGCTCATCCAGAAACTTTAAATGGCTTTGATTATTCAAGTAGTTTATTTGGAAACAGAAGTGGATTTTTGCTGTGTTTTGTTCTCTCAGTGAAGGATCTTAGATACAGAACAAAGTGAGCTAGGACAGAACGTTCCTAGTGGCTCACGCTGTGCTGCTAGCACTCTCCATTTATAGCACGTGAGTGACGCAATCTGAATTTGCCCTTGAACTTGAATTGTGAAGCATTGCACATTACAAGTTGCAATACTTGAAAACATTCACTGCTGTGCTGCGTGTGGCTCAGCTGTGCAGCGCCAGGCACGCGAGTGGAAATAATGCTCTGGTTGATCACCGTGCCCTGCGGTCCCAAAGACAGGAGTGAGGAGCAGGCAGGCTGTTGCCAGGCCTTCTTGCTGACACACCTCTTGCTCCTGGCAGAGCATAGGAGCCCTGATGGGCGGAGGAGCTGGCACCACTCACTGCTGGCTGTGTGCTCTCCGCAGCTGTGAGGAACAGGGTTTCCCCTTTCTTGTGCACCCACACGCTTCAGCCCAAAGGGTGGGGAAATGACTGTGGCTTTTTAGAATAATCAAGTACAATTCTTATTCCTCTCTTGTTCTTTTCTATGTTACTTTGGGTACCACCTCCTACAGAATGTTAAGGATCAGCAGGAATATAGTACACGAACAGTGCTATCGCTGGAAAGTCATTTGCAGACTCATAAACGTAAAGAAGCACCACTTCAGCACTCCTCCAAAGCTTTACAACTATTTACTTATTCCAGTTTGGACTGCTTTTCCTGTTTGCTAAGGGCACCTGGGATTTAAGACTCAGCAAAGAACCTGTCCTTTGCTCTGCCCTGGCTCACCAGATGCCTGGCTTTCTGCATGAGGTGCACAATGCCAAGTCCTATCAATAGATGACTAAACAAAATGAAATCAGGGTGTTGCTTTGAGCGTCTGGCAGCTTCTCTGTGCCTGATCTAAAACTGAGTAGCTATTCAATAAAGAAGGAATGCTAGAGCCCATGTCTCCCAGACTCTGTGCTGTTGATCTGAAATGGCTCATGTGTCGAATTTCAGAGCTGGGCTGCAGTGGTCTTGCGTGGCTTCGAAAACAGAGCAGTGAAGTGAGGCAGTCTGTGGCAAGCATCCTTATGGACTTTAGAGCATTCTGATAGTGTATGTCCATAGGTGAGCCTGCTATCAGGATTGGTAGGAGCAGCTTCTTGCTAGCCTATACTTTTGTTTTTGTAAATCTCAAGATAAAAACTTAACTAGCACCTGCATGAAATAAGAGTGTGCTTTTTAACAGTAGTTACTGTTTGCCCTCACTATTCATGCTTTTAAATAGACCTGTGCAGATACCAGTATGTTACCTGGTCATTATTGTGCCTACTAGCAAATTTTATTTCCTGTTTCAAACTGGAAACAAACTGTTTCATCTTTGCTTAGTTGTTGTTAATACAAACAAAGCCTGCTGTTATGGGAAGGCTACTGCTTCATCTTAAGAGCAAATAGGAAGAAAGGATATAATAGGAAGAAAGGATAAGGCACGGAGCATTATAAACCCATGCCTCTCCTCTGAGAGAAAACCTGAGACAGTATTCAAGTTAGAATATGTCCTTAATAAATAAATAAATACACAATTAAAAAAAAATACTGAATTCAAATGCAAAATTGAAAAAAACACCTTCATGTCAACCCATCATAGATGAGACTTGGTCTACAGGAAGATGGAACACTTCTGTGCACTGGATGAATGCTTCAGCAACGTGTAATCTTTGTTAATTAGAAAGTGTTTCTGTGTGATCTTTGCCGACTGTGCCATTAACATTCTGTACGAGCCCACTGAAGTGACTTAGAATCTGGGGTGCAGAGTTGTTGCTGTGATTCTGCCTTTGTAGCCTGTGTGCTGCTAATATCTTCTGCTATTTGCGATTGTTTTAAAACTCAGATCAATTAGTGTGTTAACTAAGTGCTAATTCCTGGGGACAGTGTGAATGGTAGGGATGAGAAGCTGGGTGCATAAAGAGGAACAGTGCTGAGAACAATCAGGACTGAGTCTGCCAATGAGATACAGATAATTTAAGGAGGACTGCTCTTCTTTTTATTGAAGATGTGTGTTTTGCCAGTTCAGTTGCAATGATAAATTCTTTTTCTAAGTTATCAGACATATGCTGTATAACTTATATTTCCTTTGGTGAGGCAGTGCAGACTTGTGGCTGAGTCCTTGCTATACTTCTTAGTCATGGCTTTATCTCTATTTTTTGTCTGTGAAGTGGGGGCTGATGGGAGCAGCCATAAAGTTGATCTTGTCTTAATAGGAAAAATACAGAAAAAGTCTGAAAAAAACATCATCAGAAGATACCCTGTCTGGTAACAGGGGAGCCTGGCTTAGCAATCAGAAGAATCCTTGAGATGCGCAACTGGTATCTTTGAAATGCAGCAGGATACCTAAAAATTCCAGGTAGTGATGTCCTATGAAACCTGTAATACAGAAAGGACTTGCTTTCTACCCAGAATGAGACCTCTCTCTGAGGCCTCCCTGTGCACAGAATTTTTATATATTTCCAAAACACGACAGGACCCGTGTTGGGAATGCATGGTTGACTCCCAGCTTAGTGACACAGGTCACCTTTGGAATTAGTTTGTCTGTTGTTGATTGGCCTCACTCTTGGGACTGGCTTGGTAAATGCTATACCACTATTCCCTTGGCATACAGGCAGGTACATAGCTAGGTAGTCATATTTGTTGCTTTACTAATGGTAATTTTCAATATAATACAGAAAGCTTTATGCATTGTTACTGTGTAAATACATTTGCCTTCTAGGAGTACCTTGTAGTAACTTGTTATGGCTGTGTGTTTAACTGTAAGTGTGCTTGCTTTACTTATAGTAATTTGTAGTAATCTGTAACAAAAGAATTCAAGAATAAGAGCTCCACATCATTATGTATTACAGACTGCTGTTAGCTCACCATGCAGCCTTATGGAAACATGAAGGAGCTTTCCTTGCTGCTGTTTTTCAAGAACAGAATAAATGCCTCTGAGGTATTATGGTATATAATTAATGAATATCAAGATGTTATAATTACAAGAGAGTTTGGCAAATGATAACAAAAAGAGAATAGACAGAAAGCTTACCCCTATCCTGGGCTCACTTACAAAACACCAGCAGAGCAGATCTCCAGAAGTGATCCTTCCCCACTGCTAGCCAGCTCTTAAATAGGCTTAGGAGGGGTGTAGCCTCTGGCAGCACAGGTGAATTGCCTTCACCTGTGCTCCCGTGGCTCACTCATTGCTCGCCTCAGGTGATCAATCAGAGGTTCAGGCCGTGACTCAGCAGTTCCCATACATATGGTAGTTGTAGTACCAAGTAAGAATGCTTGCTCATAGGCAAATAAACCCCCCAAATTGTACTGAAGCTAGATATACTTGCTAATGGCTAGGATAGCTTCTACAGAAATGTTTTGTCATTTTCAGAAATGAATATTCAATCTCAGGTCCAAATTCCCTACTGATGCAAGCACAGCTCTGCTGAAATCATCAGAACTCCACCCCGTTATCTCAGCAGGAAGTTAATCCCGTTTCTGCCTTTTCACTTAATTTCTTCAGCACAAGCAAACTAAACATACTATCAGCCTTTGATGGAAAAAAGCTGTTTAGTTTTTGTAACAACAAATAACTCAGAGAGCAATGACAAGCTTCTCTTAGCTTTGTCCAAGGGCCGGTGGGAGTGCCACAGTTACACTGTGACATGTCATGCTGTGCTCACTCAGCTGGTGTCTATTTACCTGTGCAGGATTAAAGACCTACAGTGATACCATTTAAATATATTCAAGGTGAAGTGGCTCGTAATTCAAAAGCCAACTGTGAGAGAGCTGGACACATGACAGCAGAATATTGATGGAAACAAAGACGAAGAATGTCTCATTAGTTTTTGGCTCTCCTATGCCGACAGATGACAGAGCTTGCCCGATTCTGCCTACACCCAACGGGCACGCTCATCGCAAGGACGTCAGCACATCCATTCTGCAGCCTGCCGCGTTTAAAATCTGAGCAGCCCTTGCTTGGATGCAACCCTGGTTGAACACCACGATGCGAGAGACGGTGAAACCTCGTCAAACAGAAATCCTCCCTCGTGGCTCCGCACGAGCCCGACAGCCTCCGTTTTCTACCCGCGGCGGGCGCTGCGTGCCCAGCCGCGCTCTCCCTTCTCCTGCACGTTCTGAGAGCGCCGCGGCCCGGAAACGGAAGGAAAGGCAGTGGCGGAGCACAGGGTGGAGCGCCGCGCCGCGCGGGATGCTGGGAGCGGTAGGCCTGGGGCCAGTCGGGTGCCAGTAGGCCACGTTGGGCGGCAGGGCAGTGCCATTTCTCAGGGTACGGCCGACACTTCTAGAGGCAGGCTGCAAAGCACAGCCTTTCCTACAGCCGCGGCAACTGTGTTAGAGCGGGGACGAGCGCGTTTATGCGCATTTGTTGAGATTTTCAGAGGGGCGGTCCGGTCGGAGCCTCGTGGGGCCCGCTCTTGCCGCCCGCTGGCTGAAAGGCGGTACTGCAGTTGCTGGACGCGCGCGTGGCTCTACCAGAGTGTCCTGGGGCCCCCGGGCGTCGGCATGGTGCGCTGCATCTCAGCTCTGGGGCTGCCGCCTCTACAGTGTGCTCCTGTTGGTTCTGCAAAGCTTCCCTTCCGTGTCGGAGCAGAACCAGCTCCAGCTGGAAAGGCTTATTTTGTCAATACAGCAAGAGAGAGAAATAGGGCTAAATCGCGTGGAAGGGATGTAGACTTTCCACCGTTGGAGGGTTGTTCAGATTTGTGTCACAAACAGCCTAAACAGATCTTTCTCTTCCTAACAGGAAAGGGGTGTGCTCTTTGGGATATCTTTGAGTGAAGTGAGATTCTCCATAACATCTAAGCTGTGGATCTCACTGCTGCAGGAGCCTGCAGGTAAATGAAAACTGAAGAGGGAGACAAAAAATGTGACTAACACAAGATCATATTGCAAAACCTATTTATATATGTAAAATAGTTGGGTGAGTTCATTTTTGGGTGTTTTGTATGAGAAAAAAAAAAAAGCCTACCAGATGCTAAAAAGATCATGAAACTCATATGCATGATGGGAAGATTGAGGAATTGTGTGAAGCAGAGTAAAGCCAATGCACAGTGGATGTAAACCCAATTGAGATATGAGTGGATAATCTCAAGTTAGCAGACTTTGTAACACTTAGTGCTAACAAGAAAGGATGCTTCAAAGAAAAGTATTTGAGCAAAATGAAATATAAGTTAAATCCTGAGGTCATGGAGAGCTCTCACAAAGTTCCCAGAGTCCTCCAGCTCCTTCTGGAGCTTCAGGGCTTGAGCTCTGTGTCAGTCCAGTGTTTCTTTTCTAGGCACTGTACCAGAGACATTCCCAGCACTGTTAGTCATACAGAGGGCAAAACAAACCCTCTCTTATACCCCAGCTCTTTCTTTTCTTCCTACCTGCTCAGTTTTGCTCCATCCACACACAAAATACAATTGAGTTACTCTGACAAAAAATAAGTTTTTAATTATTATTATTTTTTTAATGATCAGACATTTTGTTCAGGTCTTGCCTGCAGCTTTGCTAAGGTATTTACTAAGGGCTATACCCAAGAGGTGATGACTTCACTGAAGTTGCATTCACATGTGTTTCAAAAGTCAGCAGTTTGAAGTGTTTTTGAGCCAGTTTTCAGAACCACCTTGACTATGGGGTTATGAATGAGCTTGAAATGTGGGTGATGAGATGCAAGGACAAATAACTTTGCTCTTGAACACAATGTAGAGAACTAAATTGTATTGCTCAAAAAGTACTGTGTTCTTCTAGATGACCCACTGAGCGTCTATAAAAGTTGCTTGTTCAAACCTTCTCTTTGGTAGGAGTAGTAATGTTGAGATCTAAGTTTTCCTGGAGGTGTGCTTTACTTTCTTACCTACGGGGTCCAGCTGTGTATTTCAAGCAGCATAAATATACACAGCTGGCATTTTTTGGCTCAATTTCTGGCACAACTGGAATTACTTTATTATACAAGCTTTTGCCTACAGTGCTAGTGTTATATATATTCATTAGATGCTGTTTAATTTAGAACCCATGTCCCTCTGAACTTTTTTAAGTCTTCCCTTTAATTCATATTAATGAGACAGAGCCCTTTGGGTTGTATATTAATATTCATATGATGAACCTCGTAGCTAAAGAAGATTAAATTTAGATCTGTTAATAAAGAAGTATAACGACTAATATAAAATCTTCAAAGATGTCATTATCCTCCCTGAGAGTGAGTATTGCTGTACATATGTTGATGCTGAGCAAGAGAACAATTTAAAACGAGTAAGCACTGTCATTTAGACCATCGTATCCACAGGAGAGGTTTGAGCATGTGCACAGGGATTCTCCTTTTAGGAAGATGTCTGGTTTACAAGGTGCTTTGGTTGTTTTGTGGCATTGTCAAAGAAAGAAGGATTTGGCTATAAGAACCATTAAGTCAATGTGTGTAGATGAGATTATTCTACTGGATAAAACATTGAGCATTTCAGCTGCTGGAGGCTATTTAAATTGATTGATCAAATGGTTACCTTTTAACCACATTTGTAATTCTGTTTTTTGCCATGTAATACTTTCTTTGGGTCGAATCAGATATCCAAAAACAAATAGTAGGTGCTTCCATCCCCTTAATTACTTACATTATGAAAATTCTCTATAATAAGATGACATGGTATTTTGCATGGCAGATCCAGTCTCAGCCAGGGAACATGCTTTTGCGCCAATTCTATCTTCATTAAATTAGTGACTTCAGGTTTTACAGCCAAGACACATTTAGATTGCTGACACAAGTTTAAAGCTCTCCAGCAGCTTTTTATATTATATAAAATAATGATAGTCCCCACAGCAGCCTTGGCAGCCCTGGTTTGAAGGGGACTCTGCTGCCACTATCTTAGCAGAGGGCTGTGGTCAGGTGATACAAGGCAGGCATTTGGGCTTTGTGCTGGAGCAGGCTGGGGGCATTCACACTCATTCCTGGTGCTGCAGTGGTGAGGGGTCTGTTGTAGCTAGATCCAAAATAAGCTATTTGTCCTTCTGAACATTTGTGCACTGCTGCAACTGATGTTTTTATTGTCATTACTGGTATATCTTTGCTTTCTTTACAGAGTACATGTACTATAGTACTCCGTAGCAGAGGAACAGTACTACTGTACAGTGCCAAACATGCTGTAGGGAGTTTGTGCTTGGATGATGACAGTGCATGGAGAGAGAGAGACTCAATGTTTTAAGTGCTTTCCCACTGTGTAGTGCTGTAGTACTGAGTTTTCTCAGTACTTAGTATGACAGCATACATTCTTAGAGATGGCTCAACTCTTCCTGAGAAAACTTTTCCATAAAAATCAGAAGGAGGTAAGCAGCAAAGCAGGCTAAATTCAACATTACAACATGACAAAGTTGTAAGCTTATCAATTTGGGATGATAAGTCAGAAAACTGAGGCAATCTTTGCAGGCTTTTGTATTATTCCTAGGGGAACACCAAAGTCAGACAAGAAATAATTACTGTATTAAAATATCCTCCAAAAGACCAAAGTGACATTTAAAGTCACTCAAGTTGCTCTTATATTTTGTCTTTCTGCTATTTCCCCTGACTCGTTAACAAATGATTAAATTAATGAAAGGTCATGATTGTAATTTCTGTTTCCATATATGCATATGGAATCTTTGGCTTACCCATAAAGCAGCTAATAAGTACCACTATCATTAACAGCAGAGAATATATCCCCATACAGGAAACATTTTGGGTAAAGTTGAGAGGCCACACACAGTCATTCGCCCCCTTTAATCCATCATTGCCTTCCCACTGCCTTGGCAGTCTGCCTGCTGCTGACTTCTCTCATTTTTGAGCTCCCAGATCAAAAAGTGTTTGTCATGGACGTGCTTGGACTTTATGTCACAATCCAACCATTTTTCTTCATTCTTCCTCCATTGTATCTGCCTCTGAGAGGAAACACTGATGTAGTAGTAGTTTCATTGATACTTTGTAGCTATTAGTGGCTAATTCATATTTGTTCAGTGTCTTTCAGTTACTGTCACTGCTTTCTACTCACTTTTTGTTCCTGCATCAATGTACAGGGCTTCCATAAGAGGGCATGCAATAACCTGTCTCAGTCACTTGAATTCGTCTCATAAAATTCTACAAGATGGTGCAAAATCTTCTGTTAGGTGATTATTCTGCAGGAAATATCTTTCGTTCCATTTCCATGGGAATATATTACATTATATATTGCCCTGATGAATTAAACCTTCTTAAGCTTCTCCCTGAAATCCATCACACTTTGCTTCTTTGTTGGTCTCTAGACAGCTTTTTCATCTGATCCACCGAAGGCAGATAAGGGGAGACGTAGTTTAGTAATATCAAAATATCTTTCTATCTCTTCTGTTTCTTTCCTCTGCTTCCTTTCTGCCTGTGTGGAATGTGGTGAACTGAAAATGCTTTCTCAATACCAAACATCTTGCAACAGAATGAGGTTTTTGAAGTTGCTCAGCTTTGCAAAGGGATGGAGAGCTGTAGCTCTGCAGCCATCAACACCATATGTTCTCTTAGCTTTGTGGTGTGAGCTCTTCTGCAAAGGGTACTTTCCTCCAGCACGATGAGGAACACTATCAAGTTCAGAGCAGGATGGACCAGAATTGCCAAGGGAATGAGGGTTGAATGCAGCTATGAAGGATGCCATTCATCCGCAGAATGCCACTAGGTGGCAGCTTGGCTTGCTGCTGTTGTTCTGCCTGTTTGTGTAATACACAAACTGTATACCCTCAGAAACTGGGAAGCTGCTTAAAAAAACGCATGCTCTCCACCTAGAGCAACAACACAGCAAATCTCTGTGTGTACCTGTATCCAAAAGCAAACCTCTCTTATTTTGTAGTGCTGTGAAGCTCATGCTTATTTATCCAGAAAACAGATTATACTGGCTAGATAATGTACTATTTATTGCCGCACCAAGATTTGAGTTATTATCTGACTATTGCTCAAAATTTCTCCTGGCTATATGTTCCTAAGCGAGGAAACACAAGCTCTGTACTTTATAGAGAGAACGTTTGCAAAATAAGATGTCTACAAAGGCAGTAGGGAGTTTAGAAGAACTGATAAAGGAATAGTCAGAAGCCCAGGTCTGTGTGGAAGTGGATTTTCTGAATGGTTTGTGCTTTCAGTATTAGCAGTCCCTCATTCAACTTCTGATGTTAGCAGAGCAGTGCAAGAGGAAATTATTTGAACATATTCTACCTAGAAATAAAAATGAGGAGCACTGATATGGAGTCATCTAAAGGTATAGAGGCACTTGTGTTGCCTTATTATAAGATACATTGTTACTCAAACAGACAGAATATTGGTGGGTTTTCATGTGTTACCTTTGTAAAGGTGGAGTTCGTGTCACTTGAAGGATGGGCTGGAGAGCCGAGATGACCCCTGGAAACAAAAACTAGATCATAAAAGGCACTTACCCACACCTAGAGCAGGTCTTAGGAGGAACTGAGATGGCAAAGTTCAACTTCATCATTTTAACCAAGGAATGTTCAAGGAAAATATCTAATCCTATTGGAAAAAAAATCTTTTTTTCTTGTCAAAACCCTTGATTTTGCTCTCTTCCAACACAAAACAAAGCTAGTATTTTTAGCTAACAAACTGGTGTGTTCATCCTGATGGGCAACTGAACTCCACCACACCTCTCTTTCACTCCCCCCTCCTCAAAGGAAGAGGGGGAGAAAATATTATAGAAATGGGCTCATGGATTGAAATAAGGACAGGAAAATTATCCACTGTCCTGGGCCAAACAGATGCAATGTCGGGAGAGTAATGTTATGTATTGCCTATTGCTAACAGAGTAGAGTTGTGAGAAACTAAAAGCAAATTAGAACACCTTCTTCTCACCCACCTCTTCTACCTCCT